AAAATATAATAGTATGAAATATAAAAGATATAAGATAAAATAGTATGAAATATAACAAAATTAGAATGAAATAGTATAAAATCTAAAGGATTAGTATGAACTAAAAAGATCATAATTTGTAGATCATATATTTACTAACTATCCAATAAAAATATACTAAGTAACATGATATATTTTATATCAGGTGCTGAATTCATCACATGGTGACAATATTATTAAATTTCTCTTGACTTATTTATAATTGAACAAAAACTGGTAAAAATATTCAAAGTTAAATAATAATAAAAAAATTGAAAATTTCATGATCATCTTTAAATAAGGAATCTAATGATATGAATAATTAAAGATATTGTAAATAAAACCAAAAATATTATCAGACTTTGAGTACAGCAGATAATAACATGTCATTCACAACAAAAAATAGATATCAATTTGTATTTATTAATAGTTTTTATTATTAAACTTACAAAAAAGAAAGTGATTATAATTATATTTCAATTTTAGTCTTGAAATTCCACCAATTGCTCGTTTTTTGCTTGCACTGAAAATATAGGTCATCATCATTAGTAGTATCCAGGATATTTTTTAATGCAATTCAGAAATTTTTTTTATTTTTAATACTTACATCCCGACTCGACCACAAACCTACCACCAATCTCACAATCCTTCAATTGTGCTTTCTCTTCGATTTTCGCATTGTTACAGACGACGCATCCATCCAACTTAGCACTTTTTTTAATGATAATGAAATAATAAGATAAGATAAATAAATGAAAAGAGGACATTTTTGATCGCTCGACACTTACAAATCCTGAACGATAACATGATCCATCAAGATTGAATTATTAATCTTGACATTCTTGCCGATTACACAATGTGCACCGATAGTTGATCGTTTTATCGACGTTCGTTCATCGATTTTGGTGTCTTCGCCAATCATCGAGTCATTTCCAACCTGAAAGGATAATACATAATAATTAACATTGATAATAATAGTACCGCTAATACTAGCAATTACTATTGATTTTGCCAAAAAGTAGATTCATCCACCTGTGTTTTCTGAGTTATTTCTGCAGTTGGCGGAACACGAATCCCAGTGCTTATTTTTGTCATCTTATTAATTGATTTATTAATTAATTTTGATTATAGAAAATAAACGAATATAAAATAAATAATACATACATGACGATTCAATTCACAATAAGAAGGTACCGTATTACCACGTCCACAGAACCCATCCTTATATATATATATGTGACATCGCACTGGGTACTCGTCATCATCCTCTTTTTCCCAGGTTGTCGAGTATTCAAGTGCCCTCCTTTGAAAGTTCTCTTGTGTTCTTGCAACTAAGTATGAAACGATCCAAAATAAATATTTACAATAATTTTTGTGCAATGAGATTGTAAAATAAAAATAAAATTAATATACTTGCGCTTATTTATTCCTTCTATTTCCAACAACTTTTTCTGGTACTGACACTTTAGCAATAACGGCACAAGATGTTCTTTCACACTACTGATTGCTTTTCGTTGCGCAACCAAATCAATTATCCATCGTTTGAAGATGTATAAATGCGCATCTTGTAGTGTAGTATGGATGTTTACTTGTGGAAATCTAATAATTGAGACGGTGAAAAAACAAACCAATTTATAAATTAAATAGTAATTAAATGAAATACGTACGCACTTCCATAAAAGTGACATTCGCAAAGAAAGCTCTTGGTCTAAATCATCACTTGATTTTATATAGACGAATCGAGAACGGGTGGGTTCCACGCCAATGAATAATTTCGAGCCTTAATGCAATCAATACAATCCAATCTATTAATCAACAATTCACACGAATCATATATATTATATTATAAGTTAAATTACTTACTATCGTCCTTAAAACTGCTCGTACCAGCCACACTACCACTCTCAGATTTACTTGGTTCGTAAAAGAGCGCAGTAAAAGTTGGGTCTTCTCGACGATGGTAGTCCAGAAACTCGTGCGGTACAAGATCGAGAATCAAGTCGCAACTTACTACAATGAAATCACTCTATTTCGATTTAAAATCTGTATGTAAATAATAATTTAATAGAGAATATCTTTACCCTGATCTTATCTTTCACAGAACGTAAAACATCAGCAGTCCCACTGTGTTCATCACGAACAACTTCCAGTGATGGTTTAAGTTTACCCTCGTGAATGTTTTTTAGATAGGAGGATATTTTATGTTCTCCGCTTTGTTGTGCGATTATCATCACATCTGGAGCAAGTTCAAATTTACGAATTTTTTCAATTTTATGCAAAGAACAAAAAAATCAATATTTTCAAAAACTACCAAATATCCCGGCCCGCTCCAACCAATCAAGCACATAATGTATCATTGGTTTATTAGCAATCGGTAACAACGCTTTCGGCAAATTATTGTCTTCTGTAAACGGATATAAGCTTTTGAAATTTACAAAGTTTTTAGTAGAAACCTTATTATGATAAAAAAAACTCTGAATTGTCGTCATAAAAGGAAGGTAACTCTCCCCAACACATAATTCAATATGAAATTATTTGCTTACTAATTTCCAAATCCAGCCAGTACAATCGCTTGAAATTCCGCATACCGAACTTGCTGTGTCTGTTGCGTTTTCTTTTTTCCAGAGTCGAATAGAAGCATTATTTTTTATTTTTAAAAAGATGACGATCAGATCGAGTTTCGCATTAACATAATTTGATCCAGCTTTTTTTGTTAAAATCTACAAAAATATACCTAAAATTATATATTACACAGAAATATAGAATGACTTCGGATCACGTGACTAATTAAACTATCAAAAATCCTAAAAGCCAATTATTGTTTTTTATTTTATTTTTTTAACCAACAAAATAGTAAATTTAAGTACAGACACTTGGTAAAGTAAATATTAAATTAATGTGATTAAATAAAATTTTATTATTAAAATTCTGAATTTAATTTGTATAATATTTTTTTGAATTAATATTAGAAGTTTAGTCTTAAAATTTTCATTTCAATATAAATTATATGCTTGATTAATTCAGATTTTAAAACACTAATAAAATTAAATTTATTAGTTAATTTCATGTTTTAATTTCAAATATATAAAAGTGAAGGATTTTTAATTTAATAAAAAATCAGAATTTAATTAATTTTCTAATTAATAATAAGATAGTAAAGTATATTTATAATTATATTATTTATTAACATATACTAAATATTAAAATACAGTATCTAATAAAAGTATTTCCATACTAATAATTTTTGATTAATTATATATAGATTACTGAAATTTTATTATATAATAGTATATATACATTACAAATATTGATTATTGATGTCTTTTTATTGATTAATAAATTCTATATCAAGTTTACATATTGTTATAATCCAAATATTTTATAATATAGTTATTTTATTGATAATTAATCATTTTTATTATATTTAACATTTTTAATAATTCAATTTATTTAATTTATTTTTTATTATTTAATTTATTATATTCTTATTGGATGAATTTAAAATCACATGACTTTTATATATAACATGTGATTTGAATATGTAATTTCTACATGTGACTTGTATATGTGACTTTACATGTGATTTATTATTATTAATTTAGTTTTATAATTTTTATAATTTCATAATTTTTATAATTTCATAATTCACATAATTTCATAATTTTATAATTTTATCAAAAATATCAAAAATATCAAAAATATTCAATATATCCAATATCCAATATATCTAATATATTTAATATATCATATTTATTATATTTATTATTATTTTGTAATATTAATTAGTGAAAAATATTTATTATAAATATAATTGATCTTGTAACTGTAAAAAAGCAAGTTATAATAATTAATTTAACTAATAACTTAAATAAAAATATTTTTAATAAAATAACTATTACTTAATATCTTTATTAAATTTTATAAACAAACTAATTAATTACATATAATTATATTATTATATTTATTGCACTACTGGATATTCAATCAGATTGCTATAAAATATTAGTATTATATTACTATAGGATAATTTACACACTAAGTAAATATAAAAAAAGATATTTATTAGTAATAATGATTCTATTTTATTTATTAAAATAGAAAGAAGTTGTATCATATATTAATCTTAATGCAACTAGATCAAAATTAGTAAATAAACAAAATTAAATATAACAAATGATTAATTGAAGTCATAATTGATAATAATATTAAAAAAAGCTCTAAAAATTGAATTATAATAATATTATAAATTTTCATACTCCAAATACAATAAATTAATTATTTTAGAATATAATATCTTAATATTTAGTAATCCAATTTGAGCAAAATTATTATTATTCAATTTGTCTAATCTAAATAAATTAAATCATAATATTTTCACTCAAATTGAATAACTAGATATTAAAATATTGCATATTAAAGTAACTAATTTATAATTTGCCAATCAATTTTTCATTAGAAATTAATTGTCTAAAAATGAATCAAATATAATATATATATGTATCTAATCTTTAATAATTTTATTTAAATAAAAATAATACTATTTAATTTATTTAGTTAAGACAAATTGAATAATATTATTTTTATTTGATTCAGATTATAAAAAATTAAGATATCATATTCTAAATTGATCAATTTATTTTTGTTATATCAAAAAAATAAATTTATTATTTTAAAATACAATATTTTAATATCTAGTTATCTGAATTAAACAAAAATATTACTATTTAATTTGTCTAATTAAGACAAATTGAACAGTAGTATTTTTGTTTAAATCAAATTATTAAATATCAAGAATTAAATTATTGAATATTAAAATATATATTATGAAATAACTGAGTATATTTGGAATACAAAAGTTTATGAACATATAATATTCAATATAAAATTTTTTTAATCAATAAAAAATTATCAATGATTAATATTTGGATTTCAAGAACATATAGATAATCTATCAAAATTATCAGTACAGTGATACTTTGTCAGACACTGTACTAAAATATTATTAGTATACTTTTGTTATCATATAATAAAACTAAATTAATATAATACAAAATAATATCAATATAATATAAAGAAAAATTAAATATATAAGAAAAACTAATTTATAAAAATAAAATATATACTAAATCTTAATAAAAATAATCTATATATAATATAAATCTAATTTATAAATTAATTATAATATCTTTAATTAGATTTATAATAATTATTATCCTTTATTAGATATTATTACTATATAAGAGAAATATTATTATTATAGATAGATATTGAATTTCTTAATGCTATATTTATTTAATTAATTTTTTGTTCTAGTATATTAATAAATAGTTAAATAATATATAACATATTATAATAATAATAATAAATAATGTGTATTTATATTGTAATAATTTTACTAATTTTAACAAACTTTACTTTATAACTTTAAAAATTATAATACAAAATAATAAGTTTTCTAAATAATTTTTAAATTAATAATATATAATTTATTATAAGTGATCTATTTTTCAAGATTAAAATTAATACAAATATAGCTTGAAATATTTTACAAGTTATTATTATCAAAATTCTAATTCTAAGACTAAAAACTTATTGACTTTAAACTAAAATATATAATATGTTTATATAATTTAATTATTATATAATATTACTGATTCTATTATTAATGATATTAATTTTATGAACTAAAAAGATGGAAAAGACTAAGTTTTTATAATGGGAGAGAGTAAAAACTATAACTAAAAATAGATAACATGTGTTTATGTTGTGACAAGCTAGAATAACTTCACTAACTTTAATAAGTTTATAACTTCAAGACAATAATTCTTTTAAATGACTTTTATTATGAAAATTAATCTATGAAATTTTATTAATGATTTTGGTGTACTGATCAAAAAATTGATGAATACAGTGCACATGTCCTGACAATAATTAACAATCAACAACTACTAATACAACTATTACCGCACATTTAAAACCTCAATCCAATTCAACTTATCCACAACTCAAATTTTACTGTCAAAATACTTTTCACGACCATAATCCCACATATTCTCCTCGACAAACCGCACCAAACCCTCCCACTGCGGACCTTTATTCGCCTTCAGGACTTCCAAATCATTTTTCACCAACGCAATGACCTCTTCGTCGCGTGCTAGACCTTCCTCGACGATTTGTACAATTACGGCTGATGCGACTTCTGCTGATACGCGTCGAATACGCGTTAGTTTTGGGTATAGCATGTCGAGGGAGATTTCTTCGTCGGTGAGAGAGTAAGCGAGTGCTGATGCTGACTTGTAGATTTGTTTGTCAGTGATTATTCGTGGCTTTGCGAGAAGTGCCCCTAAGCCGAGACCGGGGCTTTTTTAATTGGAGGTATTGTTTTTTTCGATTAGCGAGAGGATCACGAGATTAAAATACGATCGTACTTACAAAATGTACATATTGTTTCCTTGTCCAGGATATCGTACTCTTCCAGTTTCAGGCTCCGTATACGTCGGAAACATAGTTCCTGATGCAAAAATCACTTGATTATTTGTAGCTTTCATCGCCTACAAAAAAATAACAGAAATTAACTTAGATAGTTTAATATTTCTCGAAACAAAAAAAACCTACCTGTTCAAAAGTACACTCGGCATTATTTTTCGGATTCGATAACGGGAAAATGATAGGATTCTTATTTAATCTTGCAAGTTTTTTCAAAATCTCTTCAGTAAATATACCGCCTTGCGACGAAAACCCAATCAGTGCCGTTGGCCTCACGTAGTCAATGACTTCTGTTAAGGACTTGAATTGTTGCCCTTCGTTGTCTTTGCGTGCAAAGTATACTTTGTGGTCAGCTAGTTTGTCCCCACGATCAAAGGTCACAAGACCCTGAGATTTCGATAAGAATAATAACATTAACATCATTATTATGTAAACAATTGTCAGCATCATAACTATTATATAATTTCTTACCTTTGTATCAACCAACCACAATAACTTCTTCGCATCTGCCTCCGTCATTCCATGCTCAATCTGGAAAAACTCTAGTAACTGTTTAGCAACACCAACAGCCGCCGAACCAGCTCCGAAAAATAGTATACGGTGCTCTTTTGGCGGAATGTCTTTTGCGGTCAGGCGGACTGCGTTGATGAATCCGGATAGAATTACAGCGCCGGTGCCTTGAATGTCGTCGTTGAAGCAGAATGTGTTGTCACGATATTTTTTTAGTAATTCGAAAGCCTTAAATAAATTTAATTTTTCAGATTGGACGAGTTTAAAATGACATGGGAAAAAAGAGCAAGAGTGCTTTTAGATTTACATGCTCCGATGAAAAGTCCTCGAATTGTATTAAGAGTTCAGGATATACTTCGCGGAGAGTTTTGACCACGGCATCGAGAAAAGAGAAAAACTGAATAAAAATACAACAAAAATTAATTGTAACTATAAGCTTATTATTTATTATACTAGCACATATATGATATTAAACTTTCTAAAATATTACCTCTTTATCTGATCCTCTCTTTCTACGAAGCCCAAGATAAAATTGATCTTTCAAATTATGTTCATTATTTGTGCCAAGATCGAGAGTAATCGGGAGCGTACGTCGCGGATCTATACCAGCACCAGCAACATATAATTGCAATTTTCCCACAGGGATTCCCATCCCGTTAACACCTAAATCACCCAACCCCAAAATTCTTGATCCGTCGGTAATGACAGCGATTTGCGGTGTCAATGATTCATCGAACGGGTAAGGATTATAGTTTTTGATGATGTTTTTGAGGTTTGGGAGATCGTTAAGTGAAAGGAAAAGACCGTCGTGCACACCGGGGGGTGCCAAAAATGGGTATATATGCGAGTATTCTTGGCAGGCGGTGCCAACGGTTGGAGTGTAGATTAATGGTGTTATTTCCTAATTCATTTTATTTTATATTTTATGAATAACATTCTCATTGTAAATGAGTGATTTAACGACAAAAAATTTACCTCCAGATCTTCAATCAATAACCGATAAAATAGCCTGACATTAGTGTTCCTAAGCCAAGCAAGAAATATATATTTTTCTAACTCGGTTGATTTCGCACGTAATTGTATGAGTGCACGTTTTTTCTGTAGATCAAAAGTTTCCACAGCTGGTGGCAAAAGACCAGTTATTTGTAGTTGATCACGAAGTACAAGTGCCGTTGATGTTGCTTTATTTGAAAGGTAAAATCCAAAGTTAGTATTATACGTTTATATCGTTAGTAGGAGATTGAATATTAAATCGAGTTTAAACTTAAAAGTCAATCGCACAATTTTCCCGGGAAATTTTAAAATTCAAGAAATTTTACTATATAATTTATTAGAATTCACCTTGGTTAAGGTAGTGCGATTTGGCAATGTTCTTGGCGATATTAATTTTTTCATTGACAGTTTTTGACATTTTGAGAATATTATCTGAAATTTTCTCGTCAATTTTATTTCGTAGATTCAATTTTGATGATGGATTTATATGAAAATTAGAGGTGTTTGTAGCAAAAGTGATAACGAAGTCTTTGAAGAATCGAAACACCTTAAATTTTTATAATGAAAAATATTTGCCAGTGTAACAAAAACGAATTGATCTTCCTCTTTTGGACGATTCCGATTACTCAAAATAACCTTAGAAAGGAAATTTAATTTATATGGCAATAGAAACCAAAGCAAACTGATGTTGCACCAATTTTTGAAGAACATGTACCCTAGCCATGGCGAAATAAAATGTCCGGACACGTGATTTATGATCCACGTGAATTATCCGGAGTATGTTGCCGATGTACATGTAACCGAATATACAGACAATGACGGCAGGTCATTTCCGAAAGATCGAAGTCCAGTCTTAAAAAAAATTATATCATTGATGAAGACCGAAGTTAGTCTTAAAATTAGGGTTGTTAACCGATTCCAAATGGTTCAAACAGTCTCATGAAAATTATTAGTTTTAGAGATAATTTTTTTCTTACAAGCTACTAATTAAATTTGCTTATAATAATGAATTACTTATTGAAAATAAGTAATAAAACTTCTTGAGAAATCAGAATCTTTTAAAATGTAGAATTTGGAATGGGTTTGGGATCATTCTGGAACCAAAACAATCCAGAAAGCTTGCTGATTTTGAAGATAATATGGTGCATACCATCTAAAGTCATCAAAAAATTGTATTTTATAAAATGAATAAACTTCTTTACTACAAAATTTAATCCATAAATATGGTAGAATAAGTCTTTTCTATTATATTTATGAATTAAATTTTGTATTTACTTCTTAGTAAAGAAGTTTATTCATTTTATAAAATACAAATTTTTAATGATTTTAGATAGTATATACTATATTATTTTACAAATTATTAATAAAACATATTTATAGAAATATTTTAAAAAGAGCTACTTATTATACTTAAGCAATTTGACTTTTCTAGAATTAGTAATTTTTAAAATTGTTATAACTGATTTAGAACTGATTAATAATTCTATTTAAAATAATTATAACAAAATTTATATATTTGATTTTAAATACTCAGAAACTTTTATTTATATTCAAAAAAATTTGAATAAAATATAAAGTAAAATAAAATTAAAAAATTTAAATAAAATAATAAATTCTAAAATAAAGTTCTCTTATCTAAAATATTAATCTTGTAGCATTTTTTAATATATAAAACTCAATATCTTTGTAAATTCAAATATATAATTTATTAATTAATTTTTATCATAATATTATAATTAATATATTTGAAAACAATAATTTTACAAAAAAACTCAAAACAAAATATATATTGATTATAAAATTATAAAAAATAAAATTTAATTCTAATATTTCAAATTTGATAATTTATTATATAAATATCTTACTTGTAATACTTGTTTTATAAAAAAGAAAATAAATATAAATTTATAAATAATACTATATTAAAAGATAAAAATTTAAAAATAATCTATTCTTTATTTAAATTATTTAAAATTTAGAGCAAATTATAAATAAATAGTTTAAAAAATAAAAGCTCAATTTTTTATTAATAATTATTTAATTTAAATAATATATTTAATTAAATATATTTTATTTACTAATTTTTATCTATTCGAAATACAAGACAAATTCATAGAAGAAATAATAAATTAAATATTAATAATTTATCTTTTTTTAAAATATTACAAGTATTTTTCATAATTTTTTAAATTCTAAAAAGTTATTTTGTACTAAATCAAATTATTAATATTTAAGATAATGTTCTCATTAATTCAAAAATTATTAAAATTAGTGAATTAACAAAGTAACATAACAGTGAGAGAACAAAGACTGAATGAATTACAATTAATAGAGTTCACTAAAGGTTCTAAAGATCTTCTGTAGTAACTTGTATGCAAACTAACTAAATATTATCAATAAAGAATAGAAATGAATAGAAAAAAATAAAGTGAAAAGATAAAAAGAATTAAAAGAATTAACAAATAGTTTCAAAGTAAATAATAAGACTTATTGAAGATGCCTAGTGAAATAAATAACAATTGGACTTATTAAAGGTACCAATTACAAAATATAAATAAAAATAACTAAAAATAATCAAACAGGACTTATTAAAATTGCCTAAACTAAAGTAATAATGTCAATGACTTATTTAAAGTGAAGGAGCATCCATTACTTATAATTCTAAGATTTGAAGATAATCCACGAAAATAATAGTGTATTTTACAAGTAAAATATTACTAGTAAGAACTTTGTTATTTATTAAATACAAGGATTAGAGCATGAGAGTTTCTAGCGACAAGAGACTCTTCTTTTATACATTTTCAATCTTTTACACAATTTTATATAACTAATAACTATTCTAAACTATATTACAATTTACATACAATACTAACAATACAAAAGAAATATAAACATCAAAAATAAATAAGAAATTACACAAATTCATTAACAAGAAAATACAAAAGAAAATTAGTTGTAATTCTAGTGATTTAA